AGAGAGAGAGAGAGAGAGAGGCCACTTCGTCGACGACTTCAACGGCAGCGAGGATGCGCCGTTCGCCCACACCTTGCCGTCGCCGACTTTTTCTCCTTGCTTGGCCTCCAGACCAAGCCTTCATGCAAGGCGCAGGCACCAGCCAAGGAACACGTGGTCCAGGGCGTTGACCTCTCCCTGGAGCGTGATGAGCTCTCGCTGCCCACAGCGAAGCGTGGAGCAGATCAACGAGCCTTTGCAGAACGACCGGCTCTCTCCGGACTCGGCGGCGCGCTTGGCTGGGCGCCTCACGTTCTTGTCCCAGTCCACTGTGCGCAGGTCGGGCGGTTATCATGCTACTCTATTTCAGGGCGGCAGACACGGCCGCCGACTTGGACAGCACATTGTGTGTCGGCTTGAGGGCCGCGCTCATGTCCCTTCGCCGAGTGGTGGCAGAGGCCCGACCCAGGATTGTGCCATGGGCCGGGCGTGTGACTGGGCCCTTCCGCCGACGCCTTCTTCCTGGACGGTGAATTGGGGAAGAAGGCGGGCCACGTCGCCCCGGCGAACCTTTTCAAGGGGGGCAGTGGCAGAACGTCGTCCTGTTCTTCGGTGGCAGCACTTGGCCCCCTTCGCCGCCCGGAAGGCGTTCATCTACGTGCTGGAGATTGTCGCCCAGCATCGACAACGTCGCGGGGCGGTTCGCCTTCATGACTTGCTACGGCAAGGATCCCGCTGTCAACGGGATCCTCGGCTCATTCTGGGGCTTGGCAGCTGATCGCCAGTGGTCGCCCGACTTCTACCGGGTTCCCTCGGCCACGAACGTATCGGACGCCGTGTCGAAGCGCCACGAGCGGCTCAAGTCTAGGGGTGGGTTGTAGTTTTCCTTGCCATGGATGGTGCTGCATTAACGTGATTTTCGGCATGCTTGACTTTTCACTCACGGATTACATGGTTTCTGAAGACTTTTTCACGGAACACATTTTCTCGTGGGGAAGCCGAACTTCGGCCCCCTCCTGGAGGCCTCGAGGGCATGGACTACACTATGCAATTTTTCTGTTGTTTGGTTCATTGATGCTTTTCCGACATGGCATGGATCTTTGAGTATGTGGCGACGTATGCAACTGCTTGTTCGCTCCTGCAACCATGCGAGCCACTTTGTTGGTCATGGCTCTGCAGGCCTGCTGCTCTTGGGGAAAAAGAGGCGAGTCGTGCGTTACGGCAAGCCCCTGCAGTACACTCTAGCAGTGGAGAGCTTTTGCTCCTGTCAGACAGTTTTGTTTGGAACGGTATTTGTGTTTCTCATTTGGTTTACAGCGATTTTCTTTCGAGGCCTGATGGAGGGATATGCAGCTTTGTGGACAGCCAATTCTTGGATGAGTTTGGCGAGGAAGCTACTACCCTGCTTCCACTTCAGCTCGGCTCGGTCCCAAGTCCGGGGGTCATCAAT